AGAGTTCATGGTGATGAGGCAAGTGCAAGGCGAAGCCCGAAAAGCAACCCACCAGTCGGGGTCAGGCCCAGCGAGGTTAACCAGAGTCAGGCCCAGTCCCATGATCACCGGGCAGCTGTGAGGTCAAGCTGGGAATTCAGTCTACAGGTCACGGTCCAGATGAGTGGGGCCCGCAGCCAGGCAGGGCCCTGAAGGCTGAGGCCTGAGCTTAAATACACTAGCCAGTGGGCACAGGGTATGGATGGAGGCCCCTGGTGAGGCCATTTAGGTCTATTGGAGCACTCAGGGTCCTGACAACATGCTCTGTTTCGGTGGGGTCATCTTCCACACATGGAAAAACTGGAGCATCTCTCCCACGAGGAAAGACTGAGGTCCCTTCCAACCTCTAACATTCTGTGATTCTGTGAAAAACTACTGCAGAGAATAGTTTTCCACTGGAGGGGGCTATACAGTGCAGCCAGGAGGGAAGGGTGGAGCGCAATCAGAGCCAGCCAAGGCCCAGTACCCCTGTTTCAGGGTTACTCCTTGTTCAAAAGCATCCGGAAATAATGATTCATAAGGAATGCCTATGCTGGAAAGATGGTACAGACTGTAGATAGTGCAGGGAGGCTGACTGGAACCTGTGGGAGAGGCACTCATCTGAAATAAAAGGCAGGCTATACAGGTTTGGTAATCTGGGATTATGTCAGAAGAGATTGGCTCACCCCTGCGCTCCTGGCTGTTGCATCCACGTCAAACGGCTGACTCCGAATGATTGAGTGCTCGCCCAGATAAACCAGTATTAGCACACAGCAAGGATCTTTCAGAGGAACATTACACTTAGTGATGTACCAAATGCTACAGAGAACTGTGGTACAAATACACATGGAAATCCGTGCAGCTATTTTGCATCTTTCAAGTTGCAGCTACACAGGAGCATGTCAGGAACACAGCAGCACTGGCAAGCAGATCTTAGGGTTCAGCTGGTGGGCAGAAGAAGTAGTAACAAAGGGAAGCTATGCAAGTTATGTAGAGTAAGGTGGTTTGGTTTTATTTTTTATTTTTTAAGCCTTGTTGGAAATTTCTTCATGAGCTGCAGCTCACGTGAATGGATGTCAGCAAATTCTGGTTTTGTACCAATCAAAGATTATGACCTATATTTACATTCTAGAAACAGGGAAGACTAGCTGGGCACCTCACACCAGGACTGCAGTTCAGTCTCCTGATGTCTAATGTCTACTCTTACTACGTTTTAAAGTCAGGTTAAATCACTTCTCACAATATGAACTTACTTAAAATGTTATCATTCTTCATGATAGGGCATCCTTTGCCTCTTGACAAAGCGTCTGACAATCTCTCAGTAAGGTTGTCTACCTTTCTTAATAAAAAAAGAAGAATGACATTTTCTGCAATAATTGCTGGGATTAAAATCCAATTCCTAAGGTGGTTTTTTTTTTTTCAGTGGGATTTACATTACTGCATCCAGTGATATGAACAATACTTTGTTCACGCATTACTTGGTGGCTTGCTCAAGAAGGCCACATATCCAGACACTTGAGTTTTCCCATAGCTTGTGTGGCAGATACCCATGTCTCTTGTAGTTTAAAAATATTCTTGTTCTTGTTGGAAAATCCTCATTTACAGGACTGCATTTAAAAGGGATTTTCTAAGCACTTGGGAGCTAAGACGTCAGAATGTAAAAATACCGAACAGTGACACTTGGTGGTTAGTTATGTAACTTGCACATTTCTCGCTGTTAGAATACCTGAGATGAAAAATGATCCTCAGCTTTTCAGTCATAATGAGTAGCTTGGCTGATACGATTTATGGAAGTCTGCACTTCCAGAGCATCTTTCAGAAGCTTTAGAAGCATCAGATAAGCCTCATGATGTTCTTTGGTGCTGAGGTGTATTTGAATTCTTCAGATGCAGAAACTAGAAACTACCCAATTGCCATAATGTGTGCAGTTAATTATTACACAACACAAGCTGATTTGATACCTGTTGTTTTCCCTGGGCCACACATCCCTTCATGTCCTGTCATAATTTTTTACTTTTTCCTGGCATATATACTCCCAGTTCCTTCTGAATCAAGCTCTACGTTGGAAGTTCTTATATTTTCATGAAAAAGGCATTTGCTGTCTGTTCATTCTCCAACTGTGGCCAATTTAGAAGTTATTATAAAGATTATTCAGCATAACTGAACACCTAAAAATCAAAAAATACAACGAAAAAGGCCACATCATGATTCTGACATGAACTCACGTTACTTGACTGGGACAGGATTATCAGCACTTTGTGGTCTCATGCTGGGTTGTGTTCCTCATTGCCCAAGAGATGGACAGGCTTCCAAAAACTGCAGTGACCAGCAGTCAGCACTCGCAGCCTTGTGATTGCTGCTGCACCCCCAGGGCCTGGCGGCTCCGTAGAAGGTTACCCCGGAGACCTGTGCCGGCTGTGAGAGTCATACCAATCCACTGCCTACCCCACTGCGGCGGAGGAACAGGCGGGAACGGCTTCGTTCATTATTGCTTTCCAATCTCACAGTGAATTGCATTTCACAAGAGTAGCAACTCCCAGAGCACGGAGTGTTTGAGGTACAGAGAAAACCTTACCGTGATCTGAGCAGGAGCTGCTTGGGCACACGATACTGGCTTACCTCCTTACTTCTGCCCGAGAAGAATAGCTTGAGGAGATGAAAAGAAAGGATAAAAACAGATAGCAAAAAGGGACAGTTCTGATGGCTGAAATACCACTGGGGTAGCTGACCATTTCTCAGTGTTTCAGGCCTTTGCCCTCGTATGATTTTTGGTGAGGGCAGGAGGCACTGTTGTTGGTGTTTTAGGTAGGCGTTGCGGGGCAGCAGGATGATACAGGGTACGTCTATATTGCACAGTTAGCCAACAAGCCTGGCTGCTGTGCTAGGTCAATGTGTCTCGTGTTTGAAGGAGATCCCATTGCTTTTTCTCTGAAGATGCTCTCCAGTACTTTCCAGGTCAATTATGCCCTGAGGGAAATGGGAGCAATGTCATGATGATGAATGTACAATTTTTCACTGTGTAACTCAAGTATCTGTTTTGTAAAATACTCTGAAATATTTTGTCTGGCTGTTATAGGAGATGAAAGTCACTATAATCTAGTCATTATCAAAAGACTAGGAATTCTGGATATTTTGTCTATTAATTCTAAAAATTAATACCTTGTACAAGAGTATATTCATCAAAGGAGTCTTGTATTCAGGCTCTTCTGAAAGGTGGAAACATTGTCACATGGAATAAGCATCTTTCAAGTATTTTCACATTAGATGGAAATACTTTCATCACTTGAGGCCCTTCTTGGAAGTCATTCATCTACGAGAACACTCGCTTTTAATAAAAGACTGTTTAAGCCAGTGGGATTCCTGGGATTCCTGAGCCGTTTATGCTCTTCTATACACTTTTGTTAGCGCATCTTAACTCAATGAACATTTTCTTTGATCCTCACAGACTTAAGTGTGGTAAGAAACAGTCATCTCATTACAACCATGAAGGCTTAGCCTGGCATTTCTAGTCTGTCTTACAATGAATTCTGTTTTGACTGGAGTAATTTCTGCGGTCCTTGGTTACAAACTCGCAGGTATAGTTATCTTAGCCCATGGGCTACAGTGAGTGTGTATATAGTGTAAAAATGCATCTACACTTGTTAAACAGAATAATAACACAATTATTGTGTTACCATTTTAGTATCTTTATTTTATTATAGTTGTTTCAGAAATAAATATGAAGTACGTACAAAAATCTTAATTAAGGTTTATCATATGTCAGTGAAGTAGGCATTGATAAACTGAAACACGTTAACAATATTGCTAACATGAGCTATACAGATCACGTTTTAGTACAGAGAATATTAAATTGCAAAGTAGGAATCTATTGTTAATCTCATGCGGAAGACAAATAAACAAAACCTGATAGGGTCCCCCTAGACGTTTTTTTATCTTTCATTGGAGGAAGAAGAGAAGGGGAAAGGAGCTGACAGGACAGAGGGGCTGCTTGGGCTTCATTTGAAGCAACTCTTCAGTTACTTCCCTTAGTACTCTTCAGAGCCACGGGCTCTGCAGAGATGTGGCTTCTTTTAAAATTATTTATGTGAGAGTCTCTGACCAGTCCACTGTCTAAATTCTTGTGGGGAAAGCAAATTCACTTGCAAGCTCAAAAAGAAAAAGACAAGATGGACTATATGAGGGCTACCTTACCTGGTCAGTGCTTCAAGAACTAGAAAAGATGAATGCAGAAAATGACAGATTATCGAGAATGATAGATTATCGAGAATGACGGATTATCTCTGCTTTAGTATAATGTAATTCCCATGGAGGGGGGGGGGAGGACGGTGTAGAGAAAAGGCAGAAATAATGGCACAGAGTCAAAAGTTGTGATATCTCATTAAATTCCATAAAAAGCTATACTAGAAACAAAGCAGGTCAGAGGTGGAAAACTACCTACCTACGTGTATAAAAAGATTGTGACCAGATCTTTGTAATCGTATCTTTTGGTACAGGAGAATAAATGGTTAACATCTTGAGAAATTATCTACCTCGATTATCTCAGGGAAATATCTCAGAACTGGGAACTTCTATGAACAGTGACTTGAGCAGGATAAAATATTTACAGCTCTGCAACATCATTTCTCCTCAGCAAGCCCTCACTTTGTCACTGTAACCTTCCCTCCTCGCGTGCTCTCTCGCTGCCTCAGTTGTTTCTCTAACGTTTGTCAATCTCATATCTATGCTTTTCTATTTCTGGCTTTTTGTTTACTTTCTCTCAGATATCTGCACTGCTATTTTGGTACTCTTATCTTTCTTTCAGTGAACAAGGTCACAAGTAAAAGTGGGCTTTGGCAATTCCAGTATTAGCTAGCGGACATTAATTGACATCATGGAACTGTTTGCACTGTGAAGGTAGCAGCTCCCAGATTTACGAGTTCACAGGTATTAAATTTCTCAGATACAATTTCGGTTGGTGCCAGTAACACACTGGGATATGAACTATGACGGAGACATATTTGTCACAAACAAATCCACATTCACAGTTTCAAATCCTGTTTCTACAGGTGCGTTGAAAAGGCAGTGTAATTTTGTGACTTCATTTGAGTAAGGCACCGGTTTATCAGGTGGTTTGGTGTCCTGGCGAGACCATTGGTTTGTAGATTCTGATCCAGAGAATATCCTTGCACTTAGTGTGCACCAAATACCTCCAGTTTTCACCACAGTCCAGGATTACTCCGTGAGTAAGCTCATGAACATGTTTTTTTCAGGATCAGGGAAATCACAAACTTAACTTCCAGAAGGAAGTAATCCCTTGACTTTGTGCCAAGGTACTGGTGTATGGTCTTGCACAGAGAAACTAATTATGGTAACAATTGTAATTTTTCTAAACAAAATAATTTTCAAAACTCTATGTTCCATTATACCTATTACATAGCATTATCTTACTATTCTGAAAGAGTATACAAAGTATACAAAGCTCACTGAATAAAATGTTAATTACCATTATTTTTAAGTTGAAAATTAACAGCTAAGTTATTAAAAAGTATTGCTTTCTCAACATCTATAAGTTGCTGTGAAAAAGTACGAGAAGACTTGTTTTTAAATGGAGTATTTACATAGCATACTTGATGAAGAAAAGTCCAAAACCAGAAACACTAGGTGAAAATGTCATGTCTATCACTTGCTATTAAATAAGACAGAAATGTCTAAAACCCAACTGAAAGAGAGCAGGACAGCTATAGCTACGTAAAGCACAAGATGGATTGTTCTGATACTTGCCACAACACTTATAAATTGAATACAGCAAGTCAGCATGCACCTGTCAAAAGTGAGCTCAGATTTCCCATCTTTTTTATATCAATGTCTTTTTTTTTAATTTGAAAATAAGCTTCAATTTGCCTAAAATTTTTGAGCACATTTTCTTTCATATTTTAAGGTCCTCTTGATAAAGCATATTCCAACGAATGAAAGCCGATTCCTACATCAGGGGTTCAAGCCTCTTTTTAACAGATTGCTTGCTCTAAGCAGTTCCAGGGAGGCTACAATTATTGGCATTTATAACAAAATTACGTTTTGCACTTGCGTAACTTTTTACGATAAAAGTTACAATTGTCTGATTTTACTAGCTGTTCACTTATGTTTCTATTTAGAGAGATTTGTCTCTTGCTTTCCTGAAGCTCTTCGCTGACAGCTGGTCTGACACGTTCTGCTTCTGCATCGGAACCAGCTTCGCAGCGGTTCTGGTAGCTCAGCTCCTGATGTTAGCAGAACACGTAAAGCCTGCACGCATCCAGCAGCCACCTCTTGCGTGCGCCAGGAAGGAATTAGGTCGCAGCTGGGACACGCTGAGAGTGCGTAATACAAAACTCCATCTCAGCTGAAAACCCCTTGGTTTCTGCCGAATGCCATTGCATAGGCCCTGCTCTACACTGCCAGGAGGTGTGCCTTCACATCGCCATACCTCTCAGCCTCACCTTTGTACTTCTTAGGTCCAATTTTTGGTTAGGTAGGCTTCTGTGGAGTACCATAAGAAACTTGATTTGTAAAATTTTGAATTAATAATGCAGTAATACAAGTGGTTGGCATGAACAGACCTGTTGGCTTTGATGGGACTATTCGACTGTGCAAAATAACTCGGGCACGTTGTTTGCTAGCTCAAACTCCAAAGCCAAACCGACAAGCTTATTATCAGTAAACAGTATTACTCGCACTGTGGTTGTGCTGTAAGGCCTCAACCAAGGATCAAGCACCAAAAACGCCCAGCCGAACATTCCACAAAACAGATCCAGGGTTGCAACTCTCAGGCATGTACTGGGACCAAAGGTGTTACCAAGGCAACAGGAATGGCTGGCCTTGGGCAATCATGTTTTTACTGATTTAACCTATAGATTCATAGAAGTTTAAGAGATTTTCTTGTGTCTGTTATCTTTCTCAAAGATATTCTATTCTGGAGCTACGAGGAGGGAACTTTGCTATAATTTAACAGTCTTCCTCTGGCAGACAGGTATGGTCTAATTCAATGAGTTAAGTCTCATAGAAGCTCAGTTTCCCCGTTAAAGACGGGGCGCTGATGGAAGTGCGAGAAGTCTGCAGATTCCCTGCTGTCCTGCCCCCAGCTGTACCTGGGGGCGGGGAGAAGTGCTTTGCACTGTAATGGTGACTGAGCAATAATAGGTTTAGAGTGATATAAAAATGGAACCAAAATGCTGCTTGTTGGAGCAATGCTGAATTTCGCACCCAGTTTCCAAGGCAAGCATGTCTGTGAGACAAGGGCGCAAGTGACCGCAAGAGAGCCACAGCACTACGCATACAGCCCCTGGCACGGAGGAGGAAATCTGCGCTCACTGCACCTTTACAAAACGTCTACAATCTTTTTGCTATTATTTAGTTAGAGGGGGTTTCACCTCTGTATTAAAACCGTTCAGATCCTTTTCTGAGCTAGTGCTAATCAAATGCTCGAGTGGCCTAGCTAAAATAGATTTAAGGTGTTCAAACCGATTTTCCAGTGTATAAACATTCCTGTCTAAAAATTGCAGGAATAACTGACATCTTTGTTAGCAGCCTTTATGAATTTAACATGTTGAGCAGAATAGCTGGGAAAAGGTTGGACAGAAAGAGCTGTGCTCAGATATTTGGGGAGTCCATCGGGGTGAGGCATTTTACTGGAACAGCCTGGAGAGGATGTCCCTGCTTACGCTGTGTCAGTTCTCTGGGTAAAGAAACAGCTCCAGCTTCTGCATCTGTCAGTCTGGCACCTTTAATAAGTAATTAAATCACACTCTAGATTTGTATACGTACTTGGATAAATAATAAATGACAGCTCTCACACTGGCATGCGAGTACGCCTGCATACCCCGGGCAGGAAATCACATACAGCATTTCATTTGTTGCCAATTTATCTGTAACAAAGTGAGGAAGATGCCCTGGGGACTGGCGACTAACAAGGAGCATTGTTTATGCTACAAATCCCATCCGGTTATTAGTCTTTGAGAAGTGCTTTGTTTAGCTTATCAGCGCTTCAGCAGGCATGCCAGGGACATTATTTTTGTTCTGTTCTGATATTACTGACTGCCACTCCACTCCTCCGTAAGAGGTTATGTGTTACCCGAGGGCTGAGAATTGGGCATGTGCTTCAATGCCTTGTTGAATCAGGATCAGGATGGTTAACACTGCGCAAAGCCAAGCCCTTAATAGGTTGCCTTATTAATTTTGCTGCATTAAATTGGAGAACATCTTTACAGAAATAAAGCCTTTCTTAAGGCCCATAGAGCACAATAAAGAATAAATACCTTATAAAGTATATATGCCCATCTATTAAAATTATTTTAGCACAGTAGACCTTCTGCTTCAGCTCTACACTTCACTTGATTAATCGGACAACGTTATGTTACACAATCTAATTCTGCAGTTATGCCATTCCAAAGTATCATCACAAGTGCCTGGCAAGTTTTAAGCCTGTTTCACAACAGTACCGATAAGCTGCTACTCCATCAGATGATCAAAATACCTGTAGTGTGCCCTTGATCAAGTTAATATTTAAAAATAGTAACGCAATATTTTTATTAGGCTCAGGTACCTTTTCAATTATGTTAAACACCTTTTGGGGGAAGAAGATTTGTTTAGATGTTTTAGAAAGGGAGGGCTGTTGGGTTTTTTTCCACAGGAGTCCTCTGCTTTTTTAGCAGATTTGCTTTATCTGAGGGGAAATAAAAAACCCCACACCACATGTCTTTCATAACTGTAATTTAGAAAACCTGATGGACTCTTGCCATTGGGCAACTAAGTTAATAATTGACACAGACACATAGCTGGCCTTAATGAATGATTCCACACCAACCCTGGCAGCGAGTGTAACCTACTCAGCTTCTCTCAAACATTTCTGGAAAGAGGAATGGTAAGCCAAACTCCGTGTAGGTCTTCTGAACCACGGTAGGAACTGTTCATTAGAATGATTGTGAATAAGTAATTGAAGTATTTACTCACACTTTTGATCATGAGATCACTTTTGGAAAATTTGCATGAATCAGTTCTTCCCTTTAAAATATGTAATATTTATCATTTGCTTGTGAGGAGGTTAAATATGTATTGTCAGCTAATGAGCAGTCCAGTATCATCTTAATTGGCCTTGTAATTGAGAGATGGAGCAGCAGCTCATCTATCAAAGGAGTCTGACCAAGAGCTCACGGAGTATTGTGTGTTCCTAGTAAGTTTAAACCTCAAAGCAAGGTCTATTTTACTTCTAAATAACGGCACATTCCTGGAAAAATGAATAAATGTTTGTTAGCACTCAAACCTGCTAAGTGCTTTTTAAACTTTAATTGCTTTTCTTCAGACGTGCTGATGAGAATGGACTTATCACCGATGCTTTAAAACAGAATTTCTTTGTGGTAAAACTGAAAGATGTGAGCTGAGCTGTGTCACAGAGATAAGGATTTATACCCAGGAGCTTCTGGCTTCATAATTGACGATCTGGTCACTACTTCATGCCTTTCTTTTGCATACAAGTATTAAAATGTATCAAATCCAGTGGCAGCATTTTAGTACAATAGGCTTGATTTTGCAGAGTACTACTACAGTTATTTTCTGAAATGCTCAGCTTTCATTTTAAGCCAAAAGATGCGTCTGGATTTGAAAATATCTCCTTTCTCTCAAAAATCTGACTGTCACATAGGGAACTTCTGGGCTTGAACTGCTTCAAAGCCTGGCCCCTGATGAGGAGCCTACATGGAGAATTCTTTAGCAAATCTGCCCCCAAAAGCCAGCAGCACCTGGGGTGCTCACTGAGAAGGCAATATAACATAAAGACCGGATTTTAGAAAAACTTAAAACTGCATTTAAAAATAAACACGTAAACTTCCCATGGTCTTTGCCAACCAGCAAATTTCAAATTTGACATGAAGCACTGCACATTGTCATCCATTGCAACCCCTGTAATCTTAATGTAAATCTTCAGAAGCCATTTCTATCATAGGTGAGCATGTATGTCACCATACATACAACTTACTGTTGTCTTGCTTGTTCCTGAAAGGGTGGGGTTCATTTTCCCTCAGTACTTTTTACGCAGGGAGTCACTTTGTGTCCGTCAGCTAGTTCAGGTGCGTGGTCTGGTGGAAACTGCTGCTGGTGTCCGCTGGTGTGGTGGGGAGGGTTTTCTCGCTGGACACGGGGATTGGAGCTTTTCGGTCCGTGAAGCACTACACCAGCATTCTCTATGAGGGTGAAGGCTTTCGCCACTGAGAATTACTTAAAAAGTGACCAGTGCCGCTCCTTGAAAATGCTGCGCTCTGCCCAGTTCTTTCGACGAACACTCCTGTGCACTTGGGAGGGTGCTGGTTCCCCCAGCTTCACAACTCGGGGTCTTCCCTGCAGATGGTGAGAGCTGAGACAGAGCCTGTGTGTTTAATGTCACTGTTGGCCAGTGGAAGGCATCTCCACACTCGGCCTGGGTGAGCTGGGCGTAATCCTTCCATGTCTCAGTCTCTCTCTGCGCTGAAGGAGGTGCTCGGGAGTTTAACTCTAGATTAGGGAGTTCATGGTGGGGGAGATACCCAGAAGATGGGTATTGTGGCACTTACAATTTGAGGTGGCAGAGTTTAAGGCTTTCTCTGGATCTTTAGATCTTCTAAGCCCGTTTTTCAGAAGAATTTTCTTCTGAACTTTGGGGTTTGGTTTTGGTTGTTTTTGGTTTTTTTTTCATTTTCTCCAAATGAGGAAAATAATTGACTTCTACTGGACTCTACATTTTATCATCCCAATCTGGCTGTAGCATGATTCCCAAGAACATACAGGTTAGAAACACCAATATTTTGGAGTTTCGAAAGATGAATCTTATGACAAAAGCTAACATTAGGTGTTCAAAATAGTATTAAGAAAATTGTACGGAAAATCTTGACTTGGGTATCTTCCTTTACGTAACACAGCAAGCGTTCTGCCGTTATGTAGTTACGAGGAACTCTTCAGCTTCCCTCTGTCTCTTGGACTTGGGAACAGACTCATTTCAAACCTCACCAGTGTCAGCAGTATGAATCCTGAAGGAACTTCCAAACTTGATTTTCTGTGCTAACTTTGTGGCACTCCCTAATCTGACTGCAGCTAATCAAGTTACCAGAACACGCTGCTTCTGGTGACAAACGGTGCCAGGTTTGCCCCCCTTCTCCCGTAGCAGAGATGTTTCTGGCAGAGGGGCCTAACTGCAGTATGGTACCTAGAAAATGACTTCCACGGTCCCCTTTCTATGCATCAAAGCTGAGTTACAGTATCAGTATGGCATTATCCAGGCCTGGGATTTTCAAAGGTGAGAAGGCACCAAGATCCAAATACACCCCTACGAAACAGTAGCTTTGATGGGCACTTCCAAAGTTTCCAGCCTAAAATGTTAACAGGAATGAAAATTTTAATGGTGCTGTTTGTAGTTACATGTAGAACTTCTGTATGAGAGGAAGCTCCCTAAAAATCTGTCATTTTAGGCAAAGTCACACTAAATATTTTATTGTTAAGAATGTTCAATGCCGTCAAAAACTCCAAGCCTCATGACACAAAATACTGCCATAATTGCTACTTCAATCTCTAATTCGATCTGCTGGTTCAAATGTTCAAAGGCTGGCTCAAGATTTTGGAAGGGGTAAATTAATTCTGGCAGACGTACAGCTATGTCGGATATCATCTGTCTTTGCTTTCTATCGGATCCAGCTGGGTGGTCCCCTTGTAACCAGGCTAAAGCCAACTCGAACACCATTTTGAGTGCTTGGACTTTTAAAATCAGATTTGATTATGTGCACATAATCTATTAAAAATAAATGAAATATTTGGCATGTTTTTGTAGCCTGTCTACTCAGGACAAGAATAAGCCACTGATATCTCTGCTGAAGGTGACTCCAACACTCTTTTTGCCCCCAAATGCTCTATCAATGTAAGAATGACTATGCCAGGTGATACCAGGGCCATCTTGCCCTCTCTGCAGCAATGGATGCCTACAGAAAAATAAACATTCATGGTGCTTCCCCAGAATATTCTTTCATTCTCCACCAGCTTACGGTTCAGGAACTTTCTCAGTCAGAGGTGCTA